ACACACACACACACACACACACACACACACACACACACACACACACGCACACACACACAGTGCCACCTGTAGCTTTAGAGTAAGCTACCAGGATGTGGTTTTTTAACCTTTTAAAGCCTCTTGCTCTAAATGCTCGGGGCTACACTTAGATACCAAATGCCTGAGTGTAGCCCCAGTCAGCAGGAATAAAGACTTTCAATTGGCTATAAACCGCCTCTGAGTAATCATCTCTTGTGGGCTCCCAGGAACACTTTGACCTACAGAGAAAGGAAAACATACCAAAGTGAGATAGTAAACCTTGTCCAGCTTGGTGGGTTTAGCATAACTAGCATACAATTTTTAGGTCCTTTATTGAAGCACAACAAACATACAAAAAAGGACAAAGATAACAAGGTCACCATCTGATAACTGTCAGTGCATAAACCAAGATACAGACTGAGCCTTAAGTATCATGTGAGGATGCTGGGTCTATGTGCACAGTGGCCATAGGGGTCAGCCCAGAGGTGGTCAGTGATGCAAGATGATTAAGACTGGAAATTCACGGTGAGAAGTCCTAGAGGGAAGGTGGTTAGAGTCCATCTTCTCTGTATATAAACCCCGTCATACATACCGACCTTCAGTTGACTCTCACATCTGCAAGTGGAAAAGCTGGGATTTAATCCCACACAGTTAGGCTCCGGCATCTGGGCCTCTCAGAGAAGAGAAATGAGCTGGAGTCATGAGCAGAAGGTATTGTTCAAACATATAAGTGGCTAAGTGTGTGAAGAAGATGTGTAAGAGACAGAAGGAAGCACACATTTACCAAAAGAAACAGAAAAACCAGGTTCAGCAATGTTTACTTTGGGCAGACTAGAGGCAAACTGGGAGCACAAAGTTTGCTGTCATTGGGCGCTTGCATTCCATGGGAACGAGGCTGGTTTGTCAATAATGTGAGTAAGTTCAGGAGCTCTGGTCTCCTTCAGAAAGCAGAAAGATGGTGAACGAGGCCTCGTTTGTATTTGATTTGTATTTCCTCAATTGTAGTAAACATGGCTCTACTTGCCATCCTCCTACATGGAAAAAAAAATGCCCCTAACTCCGCCAGTTTTCAAACTTGCTTTCCCCCTGAGGTAGCTGCTCTGGGTGAATTCATAGTCTGGGAAGCAGGTGCCTCTGGAGCTGGTGGGGTGCATGTTGGGGACTAAGGGCAATAATAGCACAAAGTAATCCCCTCCTGAAACAAACTCAGGTGAGGAAGACCTGGTAGGGGAAATTTTCATGGATGTCATTTCATAAAGGATGGATATCTAAGAATTTTGGTTTTCTTAGTTAACGCAGTGGCAACGTCACATTCTGCTAATAGGACAGGGCCTGAGATGCATAGATGTCTTTGCGTGGGCTGTTCATCCTGTTGGGGTACTGTGAGTACTCATTGGACAGAGACTTCTTGGCTGCCCATCTCTCTTCGCTACTGCATTGGGAAGTGCCTGCTAGAAGAAAGATGACAAAGAAATGTCTGCTAAATGTTTAAATACACGTGCCTGTGTTTTCTAGGGTAAAATCACTTTAAATATTCTATGGCTGTTTGCAAGATTTAATTCAAGAACACCGATCTCCGTGTGGATGCTGGTAACTTCTGGGTATTCTCGGTGATCATTATACCAGTCATTATTTATTTACTGGCACATGGTGCTGTATATTCTTATTCTGTAGGATCACACCTCATAGTGTTTTTAAGTCTTCCTTTTGTCACAGACAGAACCATACTAGTAGTGATGCAGACAGAAGTCTTACAGAATGTAGGTCCTAATTTTCGTGTTTCAGCAACTTCAGAAGTTTCTGAACAAGTCTTTCATCTCTTTCTGGAAATCTCACTTAGTGCTGAGATTGCTCAGTGCAAGGAATACAGAAATCATTCAAATAGAATCTGCAGGTGCAACAACAAGAAATTACAGCACAAACTGAATTGTGTCTCTCCTAGGCAATGCCTCTGGTGACAAGTCATGGAAAAGACACAGTGATTAAAACAATAGACATATCTAATTGGCTCACAAACTATCAAAAGTGCAGAAGCAGATTTTTCCCATATTTCTTTGAATAGTGACTTGAATAAGCAGGATTCAAGGTGTTCCCCTTACGAAATTACTGATAATTCAAGGCTTTTCACTACTCCTATCGCCCCCTGATCCTTTGGTTTGTCTGGTCACATGGTGCTGTAGCTCTAAGAACCATGCACTCAAGCAGCAACATCTGCATCAGGGAGAAAGAAGTTACTATCACTTTTGTTAACAGGAAGCAAGGACCTCTAAGAAGAATCCTCCCTCCAACTGCTCCTGTGGTCTTATTGGTCAGAACTGGGACCACCACCCCTTTCCCAAATCAGTGTCAAAAAAAAAAAAAAAAAAGAGAGAGATGCGATTTCCATATGTGGCATAAGGCAATTTTGTTCCATTCTCTCAGGCCAGAAGAAGGGCTCCTCCTTTCTTGAGTGGCTGCTCTGGGGATTCTACAGCCTAGAGGACAGGATGGAAAGGGGAGGTGCCAATCAACAGTGTTCGTTACAAGACTAAGGCCCAGAGTTATACCCCTCTACCAAATTTTCTCTGCCAAGGTTGCACATTCCTTCCCTCCTCAGAGTGAAGCCAGGCCCTAAGGCTGCTAGAAAACCCCAACCTTTCCATGATGATGCCCTGGCCTCAGCCACCTTGGAGCAGGGAGGAAGACATGCTTTCACACTAACTCTGGCCCATCCTTGAGCTGTAATAACCGAAACGTCCATGATTCAAACAGAGGTTCATCTCAGTATGTGGACGTAAGTGAGAGTCGGGAGTGCTGTGGAGGAAGGGGGGCAGTCAGGTCGGTAGATGAGACTGATAATCTTTCAGGGAAAGCTCACAGAAGGACTCAGAACTCAGAGGGCCTCTCCCGAACGGGAAGGAGGTCAGCTGTTACAGACTGAACATTGTTTAGGGGGAAGGACAAGTATAGCATTGGGTTGTACTTTCTGTGTGCACAGGAGAAAAAAACCAAAGGTCAGGTCTGACTCAGAGGAACATGTGACTTTGGCCAAAATGCCCACTGGCAAAGATTAGATGATGTGTACAATCAATCCATACATGACTGTCTATGTACAACACTACTATATGTAAAATTGCTCTGCAATCTTATATATCTGGTCTGAGGGATATGCTATGACATGATGTTATATGAGGTCACATACAGAATAACAATACAACCTGATGGCAATAACTGAAATAGGTTGTGTATTGACTTGAATAAGCAGGATTCAAGGTGTTCCCCTTACAAAATTACTGATAATTACATGTGAAGACATGCTCACTATACTCCAGAGGCTAAGTGGTTGGTGCGCAGTGTCTCTGATAGAGAGAGGGTGAACCCAGGCATCAGAGCCACAGGCTTGTCTGTCTGTAGAGCCCTCTTGGCTTCTCCTTTGTTCTCTTGCTTCCATTGGCCTCCTTGCTGCCAGTGGGTTAATGAGCTTAGATGTGGCAGGGCCAGGTGGTGAGCAGACAAGACAGACCAGACGCTAGAGAGGGAGGCAGGGCATTAACTCCAGCTAGAGAAATAAAAATAATAACACCTTAAATTATTTTAAGTGCTCTGAGAACAAAAGAATTTACAGTGTCTCTATTTTACAAGACTTCCTGAAAAGAATAAAGAAGATGAAACTTGTGGTATTTCTTCTTCCTCAGTCCTGTAATTCATGAGAATTTGTCAAGGGTTCTCAGCAGCCATTTTCTACTCTAGAAAGAATGTTCTTTATTTGTTATATCAGATACTCACTGTTCTTTCATTCAGTCCACTTACCTGATTTGTTTGTGTAGTCAGGCATTGGGTACCAAAGATGACAACGGAGGCAGGAGAAAAAACATTGCATCCTGCCAGCTGGAACTCGGCATATTCAGAAGATGCCTTCCCTTCAGATCTATTTTCAGCGTTCCATCATTTGCTAAAAGGCGCTCCACTCTGAGCAGTCCCTGGTACTATAGCAAGGCATGGTCTTGTTGGAGGGAGTTGACTGAGTAGTGGGAGGAAATAAATGGAGTCTGCAGAGAACAGAGAATGTTCAACATGTTCCATGTCTTTCCGATTGGAGCAAATTCTAGCACATAATCCCTGGGAATGTTTTGAGACACCAAATCCTATAGGGTTAAAAAATACTAAAATATCCAAGAACTGATCAACCAAGCTTTGGTCCATTGAGATTTCCCTAGTAGGTTGAAAAGACTTTTACTGGCCATAGAAATTGAAGCAATAATAATTTACAGTGGCATTGTCCTACAGAGTTCTGAGCTGGAAGACAGAAAGGATGTTGTGAAACACAGTCTTCTGGACACGATATGGCCATTGTCCTCAAGAAGTCACAGCAGCCGTGATTACCTGCACAAGGTCAACCCTGTCAAAGTCCCAGTTTGGAAGGGACACGGCTTTGTGTGAGCTCCCAGGCCAGATAAGGGATGGATGGTAGAACTTTGACCATACCTTGGATATTTCTCAAAGAGCACAGCAGGAGTGGGGCTGCTCCCTACCCTAATCAAACCTGGTAAACTCAACTCCATAGACAAAACCCACGACAGGGTAGAGCCCGTAAGCTTCTGTTTCCCAGACGGTTAACCCGCTTCACAGAAATTGCGTGACCAGCAATCTACTAATGTAACTAATGAACTTAGAAAGTCCCTGTCTCGGCTGCAGGACTTCCTCCCTGCCCTTCCTCCTGCATGCTTTGGTATTTGAATTCGTGCATCATTAATGTTTGCCTATCTTCAATCAGGTCCGCATATGCAAATCAGGTGCATTTCATCTCCCTTGTTCGTTTGCCCTCCTCTCCCCCAGACTCACGCTATGTAAGCTAGCTTCATTGCTTCAATAAACGAGCTAGGCTCTGAAATAGTCTCCTGGGGGATATCTGCCTGTCATACCCCACCACCCTGGTCCCCGGCTCCTCTACACCCTGAGACCACTAGAGCCCAACAGTTGATTGGGGACGGGGTGGGGGCAGGGGGGCACAGCTTTGGAGGGCCCACCCCTAGCTGAGGAGCTATTGGTAATCTACGGCTGCTAGCAGAGCGAGAGTCTTTTATCTTTGGTGGTGTTATCATTAGGTGTTCCGTTGTCCCCACCCCAATAGATGGCTCTACCCCTCATGTGAGTATGGGCAGCACCCATGAAACTCAGTGGATGATATGAAAAAGTAGAAGAGGGCATGAAGATGGGAGAAGGGCATGTTGGAAGGGGTCTTGGGGAAGCTGGGGGGATAGGAATGAATAGGGTTAAGTGTACGTTACATACATGAAAAAAGACAAGGCAAAGAAAAGGTGAGGGTGTGGCTCAGTGGCAGAGCAATTGCTAAGTTTGTGTGAGCCAATACCCAAGACTCAAACCACAAATTACCCGTAAAGAAGAGTCCCTTTTCACTCACAGGGGGCATAGGCTGTAAGTGTAGATGTCTGTGTAGTTGCACTTCCAGAACCCCATGAAGAGTTATGTGCCTCCTGCGGCTATAGACAGCTTCCTGTTTGACTCACAGTCCCTAATTCCTTCCCTGAGCTTTCCTCTATGTATTGAACAGCCAATGAGGAGTGACATAAACAATTCTAGAATTGTCCACCATTCCCTCTGCCTTCTCTTGAACTTCTTATTACCCCCATCCCCAGAGAATCAACAGGCCCTTAGAATCACCCATCCTTAGGAAGACCTGCATATTAGCATTGCTTCCATAGAAAACAACTCCCATTGTCAATGGTAGCCAGAAGCAGCAGCTTTCCATGTCTGAAGACTCTGGCCTTTGGAGGATATATCCAGTTATGAATATGTCTCGGATAGAAAGATGGCAGAAAGGGACCCAGGAGGCACCACCACTTCCCTGAAAGCCTGGCTAAGCAGTCCTATTTATTTCTGTCCATCCACCTCTGCAAAGGAAATCACTGAGACGGGTCCCTCAGTTCATATCAAGCTAGGGCAATTTACACTGAGTTCTGGAACTCCCTAATGTCCACTCCGAGGCTTATGTTCACGTTTCATGACAAACGCCCACCGAACATAAAACCTCCAGGATCCAGGAACTTCTGGAGTGCAAGGTGTCGATGGCATTTCCAGTCCAGTCCCATAGGGGGAGCCACTCTGTGAAAAGGCATGTTCACCTCTGTAGGAGCTGGTCCCGGGGAAGGGAGTCAAAGTACTGAAGCATGGATAGAATGTCCCTAGGTTAAAAATCCCTGCAACCAATGAATGGGCCGAGAGGACAAGCTGTCCCGGGGGGGGGGCATCTTTAGCCTCCAAAGTCCCATTTGATTTTAAATAGCTGGAAGCCCGAAGGGACCCGGAAACGCTAACACTCAGAGGGTGTGCAGTGTAATGGAGGTAACCAGCGTTAGAGTCAGAAGATTCACTTTGAGTTTCAGCTCTGCCTTGGCCGGCTACGTGACCAGAAGCAGGTCACCCAACCCTGCCCAGTGTGGGTTTTCTCGTCCATCCGGTGGAAAGCACTATTTCCTTCCATACCGTCACGGGGCTGATCATTCTTGACTGCTCCCCCCCCCCCCGCACACAGTGTACACAGCCCCCGGTGATGCCTTAATCCACCTCTGACAGCAAGATTAAAGCAGGGCAGTAATCAAATAAATATTACTTTTGTAGAAAATATAACGTACATCGCCATTGCTAGCAGCTGCTGGTCTCTTACTGCACAGCAGGCATTGAGCTAGGACTCGGGGGCATTATTTATTGCTCGAGGTCACATGGCTGGTAAATCCTAAGGAAAACTCAACCCAGACTCTTATGACTCCACAGGCAGGGTCTCAACCCTGTGTGCACTTTATTCCTTGTGACCAAATGAGGCTCTTAGAGCCCTAACTGTCAGAGAGCGAATGAGATGTACTGGTTTGTCTCCTAGGAGATTAAGAACCAGCCAAGCAACCAACTAACCACCCTCCAAGTGTACCCAAGAACAGAGACGTTGTGATTCTGTTGTCATTGTTGTTCTACTTTGTTTGGAGCAGGGGCTTACATTTAACCTAACTGATATCGAACTAGCAATCTTCTGACATTTGTTCTCCAGAGAGCTGGACTCACAGCCATGCATCTGGAAAATCTAATGTTAAATGGCCATTATGGAGTTGAATTAAATAAATGTATGGGGGGAAAAATGTGATTGTATTTTCACCCGAAGTTACCAGCAATGCTTCCTCTTTTATATATGGCTTTTTCTTTGTTAGACAAAATAGGTTTCCATTCCCACCAACCACTTAGAAAAAAATTTAACAACAACAACAATAAAAAAAAAACAATCCATAACTAAGGCCTAGGAAATCCTCAGCGTCAATATCCACTGCAAGGGGCATGAACAGAGTATTGAAGATGGACGGAAAATAAGCTAGTATAGCCCGAGGTTCTCAGAGAAACCTTCCCAGGAGAAGTGGCTGCAGGGCATGGAGGTTAAACTGTTGGGAAGGAAGGACATGGAGGGGGAAAGGAAGAGAGAAACAGGCAGACATTTCTCGGAGTGAGGGTATCATTAGCAATGGCTCAGGGGCAAGACACACTCCCGGAGCCCAAAGAGAGACCCAGCAACAAGGGAATCTGGGGGTGGGGCGGAGCTGAAGCCAAGCTCGTGGCATGAAGGATTATGGGTAGTCTGCCTAGAGGCTGAACTTTATGATAACCATTTGGGGAGTAACCAAAAAGACTAGAGACCTTGATTGGAGAGAAGATTCTAATCCTATTTTTGTGTGACAAAGTATAGAACCAGTTAGTAAACATTTTCCGAAATCCCTCCAAGAGAGGTGGGTGAGCCGGCCTGGAGTCCCAGGGGAGGGAATGGAGAGAATGGTGAAGTCTAGAAATCCTCACAGGGCAAACCCTTGTGATCTTCTGATGGAAGGATGGAGTGTAGAGGGGGTGCTGTTGGTCTGTCCTGTCCTTCCCAGGTAGCATGGCAACAACTCTGTGTCTCTTGATTTTTAAAATCATCAAGTCATCTTGACTGACCTTATTTGAAAGCTGAACCATCTGATGTTCCTCATGCCCAGAGCTCCAGTATTTCAGGCTGTCTTTGCTCGACAGCAGCAAAATGACCCAGGACTTACTTTACCGTAGCCTATGCTTTCTCTGGGCAATGAGGTATGTCATTCTCCTTTCACAGACACACCACATAGTGGACCTGTTTATAACCACACCTGTGACCAACAGCTATGCACACTCAGGAAAAGAAGCTAAATAAAGGAAAAGGGGAGAAAGCCATTTACTATCCAGGGCTCTAGTGTGACAGAGTCACTAATTGTCCAATGTGGTCTCATGGTCTGCCCGTGCGTGGTTTGCAGTGTCACACCTGCACAATCAAATGTGCTCACATCGTGTTCTTAGTAAAGGACATTCATGCAGGCAGAGTTTGAGCAGTGTTGGGAGAGTCCGCTGGTCAGAGGTTGCCTGGCAGCTTTCCCTAAGTTTGGCAACATGGAGGACTCCGCCTTCCCCAGCGAGCCAGCGAGACTTCTGGCTCTTTACCTGCCCTTATCTGGAGAATATCTCTGGGTTTGGAGGACTGACCTTATTTGAAAGCTGTCCCAAAGCGTGGATGCCCTATTTATCTCTAGCATGACCCTCGGCATGGTTTCCTGCTAGAAGCCTTTCCCTGCTGCACACATGGTAATTATGACTTGTACTAGGAGCTTTGCTGTAGGATCCTGCTGCCACATAGGAAGCCTTATGAAGACAGTGTTTCACTTAATGCAAGTTAGGGTTTGGACCCAAGCTCCCCAATGCTATATACTTTCTATACTCTGGAATAATGTTGAGCTGATTCAGTGAAGTCATATCCCCGAAGGTTATCTCCATCATACCCACAGTCACCAGAACCTTGTTGCCTGCTTCTGCTCCCTCCCCATTCATGGACCAATGCAGCCAAGATCCCAAAGAAGCAGCAGAACAACAGGGCAGCAAGGATCCTATCTCCTCTCCCCAGTTACCTACCAACCCCATGGCTGTTGTTGCCTACTCCCCCTGGTAGCTGCTGAGTTCTCAGACTCCTAGGGAATGATTTTTGAGTCCCCATGTGAAGAAAAACTACTGACCCAGCAGGGAAAACTCTAGTAGGCGTGTTTCCAAATCACCAAAAGCTCTGCGTTAAAAAAACCAAACCAAACCAAACAAAAAAGCTGTTCCCAGTTTTCTCTTTCATGCCCCATGTACAGGGAGATGGAGTTAGAAGGCAACATGCTGCAAAAGCAGGTAAGACGCCCTGGGAGTTTGACAGTGCACCAAGACAGTGTGTTCCTCTTCTCCGTGACCGACCAGACTTCCAGGGACAGACCCACGGGGCACTGAGCATCTGGATAGGAGTGTTATTGCTCAGGAAATCCTGCCTAAATCTCTCTCGTGTGGACCAGTCTTCTAGTATAATGATCTCAGATACCCAAACCTCACAGAAACAAAACAACTGCCCCCCTCACACACACACACACACACACACACCAAGAAAGGGACACAGCTACCTCTGCCTTCAATTACAGTTCTTCAGGGACGGCATCAGGAAGTTGTGTAAGAAGACAGATGGATGAGAGGACTCACTAGGGGGTTGGAGCTCATCGATGAGAAGCCTTGAAGCCAGGAGCCCTGCTCAGTCCAGAGCCCACATCTCAGAGCCAGTGCAGCCAATGCGGTGACGCAGCAAGAAGCTGAAGGCCTAAGAATGGGGGCAGATAGGGGATGTGGGTGGATTCTAGAATCCAGTGCCTGAGATGGAATTCTGATCTGTTAGGGGATAGAAGGAGAGGAGTGTTTCAGGAGAGAGGAGGGAGGGAGGAAGAGGGAGAAAAAGGAGGGGAGGAGAGAAGCAGGGGACAGGAGAACCATGGTTGGGTTGCGGGCTCTCAGGAGTCTTCCTTGCACACGTGATTCTTTGGAAACAAGCTCACAGAACACCCAGCAGCCTCTTTACTAAAGCTTCTGATATTTTCTAATCTACTTAAGCTCATACCTAAAATTAACTACCACAGGGGAGGATGCTTAACAGAGAGAAATTTGCCTCGGGATTGGGTGGAACTGGCTGGGTAACTGGAAATAACCTTCTGATCAGGACAATGGAGACCTCCCCCCAACCCTTCTTGTTTATTTTACTGTGGAGTTGGCAATAGATGCTCCCTGATCACAGGCCCTCACAGCCTACCTGGGCTCCTTGACAGCTGTTCTGTCTTCATTCCCATGTCTCTTCCTCGGCATGCAGGGTTCATCCAGCAGGAAAGAGTTCCACAGTGGGCAAATGTGATGTGGAAGACCCAGATGTAGGGGAGTCAGTGTTTCGGAGGCTCGCCCAGACAGGGCAGATGTGGTCTGGGCCGGACTGGGTGGTCTGTACTCCTACAGCATACCCTATGTCTTCTCAGAGTGTCCCCAGCAGAACCAAGTCCCAGCTGCTCAGCTCAGTAATTCTGTTTCACCGGACACTTTTCTGACTTCTTCCTTGTAGGGAGCCACCTGGAGGCACAGGTGGTCCTGCAGTTTGGAGGTATACAAGTCCATACCTGGCTTAGCCACGTGGTCTGGCACATGCGCAGACCAGCAAATGGTATTAACCAATCAGGACAGCATTCAAGCCTCTCCACCGTTTAAAAGCAGCTGCCTCTGGGCTCTGCTCTCTCTCTGGCTTCCTCTCTCTAGGTTCTCTAGGTTCTCTCTGGCTTCCTGCTCTCTCTCCTGCTCTCGCTAATCTCTCTTGTCCCTGTGCTCTCAGCTCTCTCTCTCTCTGAGTCTTTTCTCCCCAATTTTCCTCAACCAAGTCACTCCGAATAAAGACGTGATAGGGAAGGAGTCTCGTTTTCGTAGCCGTTCATTCCTGCTGGTCAGGAAGCGCGCCGCACTTCCTGCCATAGTTTCTCCATCTCCCACTTGTGATCCTGGAAGGCTACTCAAGGAAACTATCCAAGCCCTTCCCTAGAGTCTACCCTGAGGAAACGCATACTAAGACAAAACTGTTCCCCGGGATCCTTCTTAAGAGTGTCTCAAGTCCCTTCGGACTCGAAAGTTCAGTGGTCACTCAGAATGGAAAGCACTGAGCCAGTCTCAACATTACTGGGGACAGAGATACTGAGGACAAGCTTTAAGACATTCCTCTAATCCCCTACCACTAGAAACTGTCTGTTCCGCCATGAGCCACCTTTCCACAAAAGCCCAAAGTGATCAGGAACTATGAGCCTCCTTCTCTAATACTTTAAACTCAAATCAGGAGTGAACATATTTTATACAAATAAACACCTTCCAGCTTTCTTCTGAGGATCATCTGATATGTATATCATGTCAAGACAAAATTTATATCACACACACAGATTTATATGTAATGTGTGTATGTGTCTAATACACCTAAAGTATAAGAAGTCAATATTGTTTGGGCATTTTTAGAGAGAGGCACAATCATTATAATTAATTTTAGATCATTTTCATGATCTCTAAAAAACAAACAAATCTTTGCGCAGGCAAGTTCCACATTCCTCCAAGTCTCTCAGCTCTGAGAAGCCACCCAGTATCTATTTCTGTAGTTTTACCTAATTTGGAAATGTTATATAAATGGACTAATACAATGTGTCTTTTTGCCTCTCTACATTCACTGAGCAAATGTTTTATCCATGTTCTAGCATCCACTCCAGTCTTATTTATGGTTGAATAATGCTTCATTGCACAGATATACCATGTTTTTTCTTTAACTATCAATTGACAGATATTTGGGTTCTTTACATCTTGACCTGTATTAGTAATGTGACTATGGATATTTATATATGAAGGTTCTGATCTAACACTTTAAAAGCCAATGTTGAATGACCACCATCTTAGCTGAGGTGAAACTGTACTATATGATTCTGACTTGTGCTTCACTGACAATTCATGATAGTTGCTATCTTGTATATTTTCTTCAGAACATGTATGCTGAAAGCCTTTGTCCACTCTTAATTGGATTACTTATTATTATTGAGTTATTTGGTGTCTTAGTTACTTTTCATAACCATGGCAATTTATAGAAGAAAAGGTTGAATTTTTGCTTACAGTTACAGAGAGAGTTCATCACCATTACTGTGGGGAGCTTGACAGCAGACAGGTAGGCAGGTATGAGGCTGGAGCAGAATCTGAGAGTTTAAATCCTGATCCACAAACAGGAAGCAGCCACAAGGCCACACCTCCCAATGCTTCCCAAACAATCACACCTATGTGGACCAACTATTCAAACATATGAGCCTATGAGGTCCATGCTCATTCAGGTTGTTTTTTTTTTTTAATTCCCTATCAAATGGAAGTTAAGTGTATTTAATAGGGAATAAACTTAATAATAAATTCATTTGATCTATAAAGAGACTTGATAGTCTGTGAATTACCCCTCTTTTTTCACTTTTTCAGTGGTGCCTGGGTTCAAATTCAGGGCCTGGATCTAGGCAAATTTCCTCCAGTGAGCCACGGGTAAGCTGTGAATTATTGTTTTCCTATTGGTCTAAGAACTTCAAACACGCATGTAATATGTTTTGATGGATCTCATGCTTGGCATGATTAACAGAACCAAGAATTTTGTGGCTGGGTATGTCATATGCCTTATGGGAGAGCCGCTATTAGTCCATCAAAAGTGAATTATCTCTTAGCTTTCTCAGTGATGTTTCCTAAATCACAAGGTTTTAGAATCCGTTGAAATCCAATTCACACATTTTTTTCACTCTTTCTTTTTAACTTGAGCTTTTAATGTAATGCCCATGAAGTCATTGTCTAATTCAAGGTCATGAAGATTTTATGTAATTTATTTGTTTTCTCTAAAATTTTAGCTCTTGCATTTAAGTTGTTCATCTATTTGTGGAATTAATTTTGTGTGATATGAGGCAGGTTCCAATTTCATTTTCTCCATGTTGTTATTGTTATGCCCAGATCTTCGAAGTCCCCGAAAAACCAACAAGGAGACCGAGTCTCGTATGTGAAAGCAAAGAGCCTTTATTTTATGCAAGTTTGCAAACTCGGTCTCTTAGCACGTCCAAAGTACTGGAATAACTGGAAAGCCTAGAGCTCAGTTAGAGTTTGGTTTTTTTATAGTAGTGAAGGTGGAGGTGTCTGGTTTCTGAGGTTCAGGACTCCTGATTGGCTGACATTTGTCTAGGGGTGTCCTGGTAAGTGTGCTGGCAGGTGATCCTCTCTACAATGGTTGTGACATTAGGCATTTCCTTTGGATGGTCTGCTCTTGGGTGGTACTCGGGTAATCTCAGTTTGTGCTTCTTTCTGCAGCCAGGTATTGCTTCAGGATAAACTACTGAGACTCATGCCTCCATTAAACTTATGGATGGCTGAGTCCTACTCTGGCAGGTGATAGTGGTTGGAACTTCCTTTGGCTGGTCTATTTTTATTTAGCTTATCATGGCTGGCTCCTACAGCTATATAATTATAGTGCTGATATTTATTGACAAAAATATTTTCTTCATTAAATTATCTTACTATTCTAGTTGGAAATTGACTGAATATAAATGTAGGGTAAAATCTTGATCCTAAGTTTAAATTATCCAATTTCTTTTCTGCTTACTTGCAGAGGACTGTGGGGGTATAAAGCAGGTGACAACTAGTGTCTAGCAAGCTGAGTCACCAGATGAGTGAGTCTTGATGGGGCGCCCCACCTGGAAAAGCCTGCGTGGTCACTGGCTGTGGAAATCGGTTGGTCTGTTTCTAATTTCTCTCATGAGTCACTCCTTTTCTTCCCTAGGAACAACTTTGGAGGTATTCCACTGTTTGTGTGTTTATCTCATGTAAATATTCCATCTATTGGGCACACATATAACTGTGGATGGTTAGGAAGATAATTTCTACTTAACTGTATAATTCTGATTAATAAAAATAATACTAGGATATTTTATATTACTCAAACTGGCATAGGATTCTCAGTTGCAAAGACAATCTTTTACACAGACAGCTGTTTTTAGATTCCAGGACAAATTCAAAGCAGGCTGGTTGCACCTGGAGACAAATACCTGGTTGCCCCTTGAGACATACACACGAGGTCATTTTCCCAGGTGCTCTGCTGAGACAAAGTCAGGCATGAAATAACTTCAGTGCCAGGCTTTCACTTGCAAAAGAGCCTGAGATAAAGCTGTTCAGAATTTGACAATGGCTGTGCTGAGTCTCTATGTCAATTTGAGTGGCATTTCCTTTGGTAATAGCTTCTTTTCCTGTTTCTGCAATTTAAAAAAAAAAATGCCCTAACAAAAGCAGAGTTAAGGGTTTATGATGCCTCATGATTCAAGAATAAAGTCTATCAGGACAGGCAAGTCAGGCAGTGGGAGCTTAAAGGAGCTGCTCGCATTACATTCATAACCAGAAAACAGATGGTGGAGAGGGAGGAAGAGGACAGGGTGGGGTGCAGGTGAGTGTGCCTGCTCCTCCCTTCATAGAAAGAGCTCAGGATCCAGTCCTGGGATTATGCCAGCCACACTGGATGGGTCCTCAAAGGCCCATGCATCCAAGGATGCCCAGACACCAGTCTCCCAAGTGAATCGAGTTTATCTAACTGTCACATAAACTTCAAATATTAACTCTTCCCAAGTGTAGCCACAGGTGCCTTCAATTTAATTGGGTCTTTTAATGTCTTTCAGTAATGTTTTATACTTTCCATAGTATGAGTTTAATAGTTCCTTTTTGAAAGTTACTCCTATGTTATTCTCTTT